TTATTTCTTACACGTACAGTCTTTCTTTATACGTGTATAGTCTTACTTCACACATGTACAGTCTTAATTCATACATGTATAGTCTTACTTTATACATGTGTTACCTTTTCAACACTGTAATTAATCTTTGAATATTGTTTTTATTGGTATACATATTGATTTTGTTATCAGTGAATTAAAACCATACTAAATATTACACATATGTACTTTCACGGTACTACAATCTGTAGATACCTATAGTTTGGCATTGTACAAGGTCATGTTTTTCTCGGACTGTTAATGACGTTTTTACACTAAATCCATTGGATGTTGGATGTGTACTGATTTATATTTCATTCTTAGATACATGATTTTTTTTATTATATGTTATTGGCTTTGAACTAGCTGTCAGTAACTGCGAGTACTCTCAGGTCTGTACTTTGTGTCTTTTTGTTGTGGGGATGTAGAAGTACCCGTCCACGTCCACTGTGTGTTTTTGTTAGATGTATTTCTATTTGTATCCATCTGATGAGTTAAGCCTTGTTCAAATGATTTGTAAAGTTTGTTCTTATGTTGTACTGTTACACCACTGTTCAGGTTAGGGGGAGGGTTGAGCGCTCACAAACATGTTTAACCCCGCCACATTCTTTATGCGCCAGTCCCAAGTCAGGAGCCTGTAGTTCAGTGGTTGTCGTTGGTTCATGTCTGTCATATTTGTTTTTCGTAAATTTGTTTGGTTATAAATTAGGCCGATAGTTTTCTATATTGAATTGTTTCATATTTTTCATGTCGGTGCCTTTTATAGCCGACCATATGGTATGGGTTTTTCTCATTGTTGAAGGTCGTACGATTGCCTATAATTGCTTACATCCACTTCATTTGAACTTTGGTGGATAGTTGTCTCATTGGCAATCATACCACATCTCCTTACTTTTATATAGTCTTACTTCATACATGTACAGTCTTATTTCATACATGTACAATCTTACTTCATGCATGTACAGTCTTTCTTCATACATGTACAGTCTTACTTCATACATGTACAGTCTTTCTTCGTACGTGTATAGTCTGTCTTTATACATGTATTGTCTTACTTCATACATGTACAGTCTCATTTCATACAATTACAGTTTTACTTCATACATTTGTACATGTAGTCTTATTTCATAGATGTACAGTCTTAATAAATACATAAAATTGAGAATGTAAATAGGGAATGTGTCAAAGAGACAACATCCCGACCAAAGAGCAGAAAACAGTCGAAGGCCACCAATGGGTCTTCAAAACAGCGAGAAAATCCCGCACCTGGAGGCGGGCTTCATCTGGTCCTTAAACAAAAATGTGTACTAGTTCAATAAAAAAGACGTCACACTGAACTCCAAAACATATAAATGAACAAAAATTAAAAAACATACAAGACTAACAAAGGCCAGAGGCTCCTGACTTGGGACAGGCGCAAAAATGCGGCGGGGTTAAACATGTTTTGTGAGATCTCAACCCTCCCCCTATACCTCTAGCCAATGTAGAATAAACAAACACACTACAATACGCACAGTAAAACTCAGTTGTAAAGAAGTCCGAGTCTGATGTCAGAATAGGTAACAAAAGAAACTAAGCAAAATGACAATGATACATAAATTAGCAAAGGTCTACTAGCAGTTACTGACATGCCAGCTCCAAACCTCAATTAAACTGATTGAAAGATTATGTCTTCATCATATGAAAATCAAGCACAATCCCTCCCGTTATAGGGGTTTAGTATCAACCTATCATAAAATATATGAGAAGAACATAACCCGTATCATGTACAGTCTTTATACATGTATAGTTTTACTTCATACATATACATGAATGTACAGTTTTTCTTCATACATATACATGTACAGTCTTACTTCATACATATACTTCCTTGATGTACATGTAGGTAAGAAGAATGAGGTAAAGAACGAGAGTGGTTAGATCATGGCGGTATATCTAATTTATAATAATCTTTCAAGAAGCTTAATCATGCATTCTAATTACCATATTAAATTTCAAAAAGAAACCTTTTGACAAAAAATATATTTTGAAGAATGTAGTTGACTTTGAGAAAAAGTTTCTAAACAATTCTGGTACATTCATTGTGTTAAAAATTGTAATTTCTCTTTATGAATCATTAATTTAAAAAAAAAGAAACATTAATTTTGGAAAATGGAAAATTGTAGAAAACGTCAAGGTGAAGAACCACTATTGGTTGGTATAATGATTCATGACATTTACAAGAAGGTAACAAAATCAAATTATATCTTTTTTCTTCATTCTATGCGTCAGGCTCATTTTTGGAAAGGTGGAAAGATACTTTTGCAGTGGTACCTCATTCGTTATGATCTATATACAATACCAAATTGATAGGGAAGAAACGACAGCTTCACATATTGAAACAATACACAACATGCGTACTTAAATGCTAAATACACGTATCATCAGCTATGGGACATGGAAAAGCGGGGAACCGGGAAAACACTACCAAAAATTGAAGAATAATTCTTAGAATACTTTAAACTTCCCATTAAAGTATATCACCAATTAATGATAAGAATATTCATTATGCATTTTTCGTTAGTGCTTTATTTTGCTCTCTGCCCCATTTCCCATTTTACCTTATGTATAGAGATATATAAGTTGATTTTCTAGGCACTTTATATATATATTTCGCTACCTGTGAGTATGACACAAGTATATTTATACAAGATCTACCTTAGACATGCGCATTTAACTTTACATTTAGGACAATTAGAATATTCTTTGTGGCATTTGCAAGAGGGTCCACAACGACATCCAGCTCCAATGCAGGATTCACCACAGATACATTAAGTTGCTGAAAAAGAAATAATTTACAGTTGTTCAGAAATACTTTGAGTTTAGTCGATAAAATGATTATGTATGGAAAACAACTGAACAAATATAAACTAGAGGCTCTAAAGAGCCTGTGTCGCTCAGTAGTTTCAGAGAAGATTTTTGTAAAAGTTAACGACGGCGGACGACGACAACTACAACGACGACGGACGACGGACGCCAAGTGATGAGAAAAAGCTCACTTGGCTCTTCGGGCCAGGTGAGCTAAAAATTGACCAAATGATATGGTTTACCATGAGAAAAAATATACAATATAAACTGACTGTTATACAATACAAATGGATAATAATTGTAGAATATAGAGTTTTTACAGGCTGTTTCTGTATTGGCCCTATTATAGATTCGAGGTTAGTTGTATTGAACCGAGACCTTATCGCATTATTCAGGCACTAGAAAATACTAAATCAAGTAAGTCGTGGAAAGAAAGGCAACTCTAAGTATATAAAGTGGGAAATGGGGTATAATTGCCAATTAAAAAACTGTCAACCAGAGACCAAGTGACATGGAAATCAACAAATGCATATCACTGGACAGCCTTTAACAATTAGCAAATCCCATACCGTTTATTTAGTTATAAAAGGCCCCGACATGAAATGTCAAAACTAATGTAAACAATTCAAACGAGAAAACCAACTGTCTCATCTATGAACAACACAATAAACGAGACAGTAAGTACAGTATTTATTGAAAAAGTTTTTACTCATCAGATCATTAAGCAAAAGCAACTACAAAATATTTCACAATAATAAAAAGCAGGCAAAGATAGATTGTTACCTACTTCCTATTAACTTACATGGCACTGACATCTGAATGTTCTAAAATAATTTCTGAATACAAGGATACGTTGAAAGTGTCGTGCGCAAATTGAAATACAATTGCATTAAGTTGGAACGACTTTCAATCGATTTTCAAGGTAATTACATTAGATACATACATGCATATGTTGCATTAACTTATCAAAACATCAGGTTGTTTGTCAATTTGTCAATTGATAAAATATATAAAATTATATGTTGTATCAACAAGATGATTTTAAAAGATCGAAATCAGCAATTGATCATAAATATATATTCATAGGGCTTTTTGTACAGGATATAAGATATAGGTTTTAATGTAGTATATATGAGAAAATGTGTTCATCATCACGAATGTTGATATTGATAATAATTTTTTATCAATCCCAAACAAAGAGAATCATTGACTATGCTTGTTGTGTTTCTTTACCTTCTTTTTTCATGCGTGTACATGATGGCGAAAAAATTTAAACAGTACATTTATATCAATTCTATTGTCTGTAGATAGTTTTTGAAAATTCGAATAAGATAAAAGGGGATATAATTGAACTGCAAAACTGCTTTTAGATCTGATGGGTAGAGCTTAAAAAAGTTGTCCATGTTGTAAACTCACGAATCCATTGTCAATAAACCAACCAAGGGGCAACACGTGGGGTGGATTATTGTCTCCTGGTCTACATGCAGCAACCACCATGCGAATTCAAACTAAGTAAAAAATATCACGACAGGGAATTAGAAACAATAGGTAAAGTTTTTTCCTTTTGTTTAGGCGTACTTATCATATATATATATATATATATATCTATAAGAAACAAATATTTCATACAATGAACGGAGGCCTCAAATTGGTTTTACAGCTATTTTTGTTTGTGGGTTTACGAAAAAGTAGAAACTAATTCTGCTTTGTTATCATAATTTTAGATAAATAATAATAATAATAATAAAAATGATCAAATGAAAAAATAAATGTGGCTGTGAAATCATCCCATCCCACCTGTTAAAAATGCAGTACCTTGTTCTGTCGAATAGTTTGTCAATGCTGTTGCAACACGGGAAATTTATCTATAATCCAGGATTTGGAAAAAACAACCGAACAAACAAACAAAAAACAACAACCTTCATGTACGAGCAAGTGCTATAAAAAGGCTATATGAATAGCAATGTTTCTACATGAAACATGCAACTTGTTTGTGTTTCTTGTTTGTGCTTGGTTTCTGCAGCGTTAAAGCTAGGGAAAAGTCAAAACACACCACTGAAATGCCTGTTTTCCTGGGAATATCGCTCTTTTATCTTGTGGTTATTGGATTTTTGAGGTAGACAGGATCTTTTAATAATGTCTGCTACTGGGGGATAACACTGTCTCACAAGGATTCATACATGGCTTTAATAGTTCATCATCTATTCTTCATATCAATGTTGACACCATGTCATTTCAATCAAAGATGTGAAGAAGCAATGGATTATAAGTTATCTCTGTGGAGTAAATCTAAATAGCTTTTAATCCTGGGATTTCTATAAGCAGCTAACAATGACGAAAACGACAGAGTTACAACTTTACGATGCGAGATGATTAAAGCAAATGATATTGATTTTACCGAGCATGAAGCTTTGCAGCGACAAATAAGTTTGCAGAATACCTTTGAAAGGTGGGTTAGGAGATAAGATATTGGAAATTATTTGTTTGATCGATTTGTCCGACGGCAAAAAAAGAAACTACTACTTAATTAATTACTTCCGGTAAGTAGATTTGAAATTGGTATTTTTCGTAACTTATTATGAAACACAAGACTTCTATATGCATGCATTTTGATCTATATGACATATGCAGAATTTTGTAACTAGATATTCTGCTGCAGGTATGTCATTTGAGACGTGCATGTACATTTATGTTTAAAACATGTCAAAGACATGATCTAAAGTTACTTTTTTGTTCCACTGGACGTTAATTGAATTTCTTTTTTACATACTGATAATTGAACATCGTGTTTAATCTTTTTAGCAAGCTAAGCATAAAGATTTTATATATTTTGATGGATATAACTAATTTCAGTCGTTGATCGAGAAATTGATAATTCAGATAGGCATGTGTTCTGAGCAGGGGTAATCAGGAATAGAAGGGGTTCAGTAAAATTCCCACCTAATTGGAAGAACACATCTTTTAACTTTTAATTTCCCAAAATTGTATTAATTTTATCATTAAAAAACAGTTGTGTCAACAATATATTATAGAAGTATGCAAAGATAAATTTATATGCGCATGTAAATGATACAAAGCAATTTAAAATTGGGTTTTCTGTAATTTCACCTTTGAAATACGTGTTGGTTTAACAACAGATGAGAGGAAATGAATTCATTGAATTCAAGCCAGGTTACATACGATTTATAAAATATTCATTGATAATCGATAAATCTATTGGAGAAAAATGTTCTTGGTACAAATCATGTGAAGTGGAAAGTGTGTTATATCGGCTTTTAACATTCAACGTAATTATGTATAGACATAGACTTTTACTTTTTACGTTTATCAAAAATAACCAATTTTCACCAAAATAAAGGTCTATATTACGACATTCAAAACTACCATGACTTTATTATAAGGGATCATGATTATATGCAATAAACACGATTACCTGTCGACTGTATTATCAATTGGAAATTATAAAATATATCTATAACATCTATTAACATGTCTTGACTTTTCAATACTAACACGGTGATTAAGTCTCCGTCATGTACCTGTGTTTAATACCTGACTATAAAAAAGGGTTTTTAGCTGCAATATTTAAAAACAAAGTATTATATCTCAATGGAATTAATAGATATGTAAGATAATGCACTTTTCAAATAGGTAAATTCATATAATATAACACTTTTCAAGGGGCCAACCTACTTTTGCGCGAATTTGCATTTTGACAGGTATTACGTTTGCGCGAACAACTCGTATTACGTTTGCGCGAACAACTCGTATTACGTTTGCGCGAATTTACACTTGAAAATAACATGAGCTTAACGAAGTTTTGTTATAATTAGTTATATTTAGTTATATTGAGCAATACATAATCCATTCGTTAATATAAACGTCTTGAATAAAATACAGTGTGTATTCCCCGGAAAAGAATATTTAAAACATAGAATGGAATAAATATACAATATTATATAACCAGACTCAAGATAAAATTTATTTGACGAGCTTTAGAAACAGAGAGAAAAACGAGCTTCTCCAGATTCGAAGCGAGTACAAATATGTTTTGTATTTTCCTACACTGCACGAATATTGTTTCATCCTGCAACATTGAGTTAAAAAGTATCGTTTTGTTTCCCATCCTAATCGTTGCATATGTTTTTGAGTGACATCAACATGACTTAAACCCGGACCGCAATGAGAGCCCGTGTTTGATCAAAAATTAAAACACAGTATTTATGTTCTATAAAGGAACAACAATCTTGTAACGGAGCAACTAATGATAACATAGGATGTGGTATTTCTCCAGTATGAACTTTAAAAAAATTTTCAATGGTGAACTGAATTTTCTCCTTGTACAAGTTTCTTAGGGAAGGATAAATCGTACTTTGTGAAAAATCACTCTGATTCAAACAAAAATTTCTCTGAAATTGACATTATCAAGATGATTAATTTCTTGATTGACAACATATTTGTTACGTTTGGACGTTCTCAACAAACAATCGGTATTCCCATCGAACTTGAAATAAAGTATACAATAGATACAGTTAAGTCTTCCTCATAATTTGACTTATATCTAGAAATTGACAACGAAGGTCGGTTGAAAACAAAACTTTACGACAGAAGAGATGATTTCAGCTTCCCAATTGTGAACTTTCCATTTTTATGTAGCAACATTCCAGCATCGCCTGCATACAGGGTAAATACCTCCCAGTTGATACGATATTCCTAGGCTTGTATTTCCTATCATGATTTCCTTGATAGAGGGTTGCTGTTCACAAGGGCACTATTAAACCAAAAGTTCCAAGGGGTAAAGTTGAAATCGTCCCTTCGTAAATTTTACGGACGCCATCATGAGTTGGTTGACCGTTATGGGATATCCTTTTCACAGATGACAACGGATATGTTCCAATTGTCGTAACTATAATCCCGCCCCCTTTTTCTCGAATGTGACATACCGAATTAAACTTATCACCTAGTTTGTACTAACATGAGCAACACGATGGATGCCACATGTGGAGCAGGATCTGCCTACCCTTCCGGAGCACCTGATATCACCCCCAGTTTTTGGTTGGGTTCGTGTTGCTCAGTCTTTAGTTTTCTATGTTATGTTTTGTGTACTATTGTTTGTCTGTTTGTCTCTTTTCTTTAGCCATGGCGTTATCAGTTTATTTTCGACTTGTGAGTTTGAATATCCCTTTGGTATCTTTCGCCTCTCTTGTATGTGCGTATCACATGAGCTGTGATATCGCCTCCCGTCATTTTAATGTACGATGTCAGTTGAACTTTCAGTATAACCAGTATAAATTGTTGTCTATCTAATTTACGTTTATTTTTTCAAGATGGTGCTCAGTTGTTCCTGTAAATAAAATCTTTGATTCATGACCTGGTCCAGTTCTTATTCTACATTTGCATATTTTCATGGTGCATCTCCAGGAAATGTCTCAATTTTTCTACTCTGAAAATAAATCCATCGAATATTACTTTAAGGACTTTTCTTCATCTTCAATGTCGATTTTCACCATGTCATTTCAGTTAATTAAAAAAAAAATAATCTATTTAGTTTTATTTCAGAATTCATAGTTTTTAAATAAAAGTTCTACGATATTAGATATTTTCTTAATATTAAGAATGATTAATCCGCACAAAAATAGTAGTTTTTCAACAGGTTAAATTTTGCGCAAACGTAATGCGTTTTATCGCGCAAACGTGATTTTTTTTCTCTCGCTCAAACGTAGGACAAATTCACGCAAACATAACACGCCGTTTTCAGGCTCGTGTTTTGTATACTATTTGTTCCCTTTTCGTCGTTTTTCATTTTTGTGCCATAATTTTGTCGATCTCTCTTCCATTTGCGAGCTTTGATTCAAACTTTGGTATTATCCGCCTCTTTTTTTCCAGATAATGGAAAACGACTAAATAAACATCATGTCACACGACAAGCTTCTTCATGACCATTGCAATGGAAGTGCCACACTTCAGAGCTCTGACAGAATAGAAAGATCAGATGTTGTTCCAATGTTAGCATCAGAAGCTGAAATTCCGGAAAACGATAACCAAAATGCCTTGACTATTACCCGTAAATATGTACCAGTAATTCGGGTACAGACACCCAAACCATGTGATAATAAGAAACGTATAATGATGATCATACTTGGGTCAATGTTTGTGTTTATTGCTCTGGTATTTCTTATAACAGGAACTATACGATTCCATCAATGTCACCCCAGTAAGGTATGTGTGCTTTTTTATGGTAAAAAAATTACTATCTAAAGCATTTTTATGTACATTGTTATTTTAAAAAAGATTTATGTCGTTTTCCCAGTTTGAAAATATATTATAAAATATTCAATCCTTCATTCGTTTTATCTTGACCAGTTGAACAAGAAAAAAAGTACGAAGAAAAGCGCGCAATACAATCAGTTAAAAACAAGAATGTGTCCATAGTACACGGATGCCTCACTCGCACTATCAATTTTTATGTTCAGTGGACCGGGTCAAAACTATAATTTGGCATTAAAATTAGAAAGATCATATCATAGATCATATGATTGGACTTCAACTTCATCAAAAACTACCTTGACCAAAAAATTTATCATTAAGCGGGACAGACGGACGGACGGACGAACGGACGAACGAACGGACGCACAGACCGAAAAACATAATGCCCCTACGTGGGGCATAAAAACCGCCCAACTTATTTCAATGATATCGGTATCAGAGCTGAAAGTTTACTCCAAGTTCTCTATCTGCCGTTATAGAATGTCTTCTGAAATTAACTGGGTTTTTTAATATACGACACATCAGCGTATTTGTGAGAATTCTTTTAAGTTGTCATTGAGATTCAAGTTCCTAAATGTTACAATACTCCACTTTCAATATTTACTGGTATAATTGAGAAAGGAAAATGTGACGTCTCTAGCATATATAAAACTTTACCCCCATTTGGCAGCAATTTTCTCCTGAAAAATATAATTTTAATTTTGGCAAAAAACTTATAATGTCCTAATATGCGGACAGATTTGAAAGGAAGTAAAATGCTAAACCGTCTATCGACCTGCCATAATTTTTTGTTTGTTTGCTAAGTAACATTTCTTGGTTGTGTCGATGAACTATTATTTATACTATGTACGTATGCGACTTTCACGTCATATTCCCTTCCGGCGCCCACGGTTTTATCCCAATTATATTCTCTTGGATGTTCTATATGCCTAGTCTTCAATTTTCTGTGCAATGTTTTTTTTAAAAACATTTTTAACGAATTTTGCTCCAATGTTCCTATGTTTAATAGTCGTGCTACTGTCTGTCCTTAAACTTACAATTTTTAATTGTGATGTTAGTATTATTATTTCCCTGCTTTCCCAGCAGATAAACATTGTACACAATGAAGTAAAATTGATATCGTGACATGATATTAACTGAAATAAATCATTATGAATTAAGTCTACAGCGAAACGGGTTATAATTAATACTGCAAGTACTCAGTATTTAACCCAGAAACCAGCAGACGACTCTGTTTCAATATTCAGACATTTAATTAGGTTAAGAAGACATTTGTTTGCCATTTATACCGTGCTTTACGCCATTCTTAAGTCACGTTACTACTGTTATGCATTCAATTATTACAAAATTGAATAACATTTTATTGAGCCCCATATGGTTAAATAGATTGGTTAACCGGGAGAGATTTCTAACAAATGGAGTATATACAGTCGTAAAGTTAATAAAGAGGATCGATGATTTAATAAGATACTAAAAAGGAAGGATGATATAGGAAATCTATTATGTGCAATTACAATCAAAAGGACATTAATGTTTATTATAGTGGAGTGAAATATCCCGGGTTATAATGAAATTTGATAGGTTAACCTGGCAGGAGGATATGAGCAATGTCCTGGTAGTTAATGTTGAAATCAGGACACTCCAGTATAATATAATTATCATTCGGGATCTTTTCAGGTTCAATTTCCCCTGTCTGTGTCATGTATAAAACACGTATTAAACACGAACATGGGAATATGAACCCAAATTCCCCTATGAAGATCACGAATAGCATAATAATATGATAAACAAGAAAAAGGAGCATTATGTGTCGCGATATCATTACATGAAAGGGAAAAAATGGTTAGGTCGCAGGCTTTGTATGTATTTAGGATGGGTAACTCAAATTCAATGGATGTTAACCCCAAGGGTGACTGGGTAAAGAAATATTGTCATCTAATGGTCTTCTTCCGACCGGCAGTAAAAAACCTTGCCAATGTGGGGTGTCCGTTTGGCTGTGAGTGATGTACAAATTCGCATGTGTAGATCTACTTAATTAAAAAAAAAAGAACAGCTTTCCATTTTCTGTAATAATAATCTATTTTATTATTGTGTCACATATTGATTGACATACATATATTGCTGTAATGCAATCAGTAATGTCAGATTCCCAAGTTTCTATTAAGCAATGTGTAAATTAGGTATCAGACAAAATTTAAGGAAGCTAGGCTGAGCTCTGCACTATAAGACCTATTTTAATTCTAATTTTCAGAAAAATAAAGTGAATTCGTTTTGTGCTAAACTAGTAGTATGTATTATTTTTTTAAATACAATAGTGAGTACTGAACATAAATCTGAGAGATGGAGTTCAGTTTTCAAACAGTTTGATTGTTTCATATATACATACAGATTATATTAAAAGTTATCATACATAATCCTGGCACAGAATGGCATATATTTTGGCACAACAATAATTCTTGGCCTTTTTCAAAATAAGATAAAACATTATTGCCTTTTATTGACTACGCTATGGGTTTTGCTCATTGTTGAAGGCCGTAGGTGAACTATAGTTTCATACATCCACGTTATTTGTACTCTGGTAGATGATTGTCTTAATGGCAATCATATTACATCTTATTACTTTACATTCAAATCGACTTCTGTTGCTCAAATCGGAGTCGAATCTGCCGTCATGATAACACAAGATTCCAAATCGAGAGTCTGTCCTGATCCTTGCTGATGAAGTCTTTTTCGCATCAAAGTCTAATTCCTGGCGTCTCTAATCGACATCCTTTTTTCTGGTCGTAGCGAAGTGAAAAAGTTGTGACAAATCAAATTGATATTTTTTTAAAAGATTTCTTGAATTTTGTCTAAAAATCTTTTTTGCCAGTTAATACAAGAAAATATTATATCAATTTAACTTTTTTCTTACTCTTTGTTAATAAATAAAATGAAAAGAGTTGACCTTATTTGATCCCTTGCTACAATAAAATCTTTTCACCTCGTTGCTGTATTTTGGTGTTTAAGCTGCTGTGTTGTATTTGAATAGGACTCATTGGGACCCGTGGCTTCAGTGATACCTACAAAAAAAGTCGCCAGACGTCAGAGCAATCTCGAACTATATATATATAACTTTGTACGATATACAAACACGTTGAGTCGTTTTAACGTTGTACATCACAACATAAAACATATCAAGCTTCTAAGACATCATTATTCTAACTCCGAGCCGACGGGACTACTTTCTTACCCATAAATACAATGGGTTTTGCGGAGAAGTTATACCAGCTTTAAAGTCTTTTTCGTTTACCAATTTGGGAATCGATCTAAGGACCTCCAACACCCAAAGCCATGACATGAGGTGTCCACTTGGTATTGATAGACAATTGAAAAAAATAATCAACATAAAGGAGTAAATCTGTATGAATGAAATGGTAAATGTAAAAAAGACAAAAGGAAACAAAGCTTAACATTAATCGAAATTCAATGTCTTTGATATTATAGGTCGACTGGATCAACATTTTTATGTGAAAAAAAATGTCTATTTATTGTATTTTAGTGGCTTATTAGGGGTTAGGATGTTGTCTCCTTTTTCACAAGTTAACTCAGCATCGATGTTATAAATAACGGCAAATTAAGAAATTATTGCGTGCATTTATTATAACTATTTTTTAAGAATGGACAAACATGCAAGATTGATAATTGCGATTTCAGATTTTTTTTTAATGAAAATACCGAACTCGAAGGTAAATTTCTTAAAGGGGAATCCATCAAAAACTGACAAAATCAAACCGTTAAACTTTATCAACCAACGGAACGAATGGAAGAATGCGAGTTCTTATTATTGCGATACTCAACCAGTCGCATTATTCGCATTAATAAAACATCGCAATGATTTCTGAATTTACAGTAATTGACATGTTATCTATTAAGGCAGAAAAAAAACGAAGGCAATTTGATCACTTCAGAACTAAAGACACTTTGCGCGTCGATTAGAGGATACTTCAATTGGACTAGGAATACTAGTACATGACAATAAAACGTCTTTTATGGCTGTCACTCGGGATAAAATAATCGAATATTAATGCCCAACCCATGGTTAAATGAAAATAAATCTACTGCAGTCATGAATTATTTCTTAAACAAAGGCTGTGTTGTCTATAGTTTAAACATGTCCGACTTTAAATAATGTATTATTCAAGCTTTTTGTACTTGTTAAAGTGCTGCTACTCTAAGATGATGAATTAAGTTATTATATATTTTATTGTTCCTAACAAAACACAATATTCTTTACTATCTACAGCAGACACATTATATATAATTTATACAAAACTGTTTCTACAAGGCCGTTCCTGCCATTTTTTAAATCTTTATATTCAGAAATGATCTTATAGTCAAATATGTAAGAAGACACCGAGAGGGAATAAAGATATAAGTTGAAGAAAGACAGATATTAGCACGGCAAAATGAATAAAGTGGAAAAGACAAACAACAGTTCACAAAATGATAACACAAAACAGTCAAGTTTGTGCAACAAAAAGCCACAAAAATAAAAGCTGTAGTGATCTCGGGTGCTCCGGAAAGGTAATCAGTCCCTGCTCTTCTAATGGCATCCGTCGTATTGTCAAGCTTGTCAATAACGGTCGGGTACCAGTGTATGTAGCATGATGATCGTTGTTTATTTGTCTATAAGCATGATAAGACTGAGAAAAATTGAAAAATCTAGTTATTTGTGATATTGTGTTTCATAACCGTGAACCCATGCAAATAATAATGATATCGGTAAAATTTCCGAAGAGATGACATTAACGTGCCCGTTAACAACCCTTGGTTCAATAGCTTGGTATGAATATATTTACAGAAGAAAAAAGTCGGAATAAAAAGACAACAAACGGAACGACACCGTCGACATGGTTAGCATCTCGTACTATGAATGCATTCAATAGCTTGGTTTAAATATACACATGGAAGGAAATAGTCGGATTCCAACAAAGTAAGAAAGAGACCTATTGGTACTGTTACACCACTGTCTCAGGTTAGGGGGGGGGGGGGGGGGGTTGGACGCCCGCTAACATGTTTAACCGCCCCACATTCTGTATGTGCCTGTCCCAAGTCTGGAGCCTGTAATTCAGTGCTTGTCGTTTGTTGCTGTATATCATATATGTTTTTCGTTCAATATTTTGTACATAAATCAGGCCGTTAGTTTTTTCGTTTGAACTGTTTTACATTTGTCATTTCGGGGCCTTTTATAGCTGACTATGCTCATTGTTGAAGGCCGTACGGTAATGTGACCCATAGTTGTTAATTTCTGTGTCATTTGGTCTCTTGGGGAGAGTGTCTCATTGGCAATCATACCACATCCTCTTATTTTTATATTGGGTCAATATGGTAAGAATTTTCTGCCGCGAAAACCTTCTTCTTCATGTACTCCAATGACATATTATGTAGCAGTGTGTCAACAATCATCACAAATACCAGGTTTATGATTTGGAGCACCAGACGTGCGCTTCGTCTACTCATCATGGCGATCGGATCAACCAGTTGAAAGTCCAAGTCAATTACGAAAGTGAAGAACTTTGAAAGCTATGAAAACCAAATATACCCCAACAGTTGTGGCAAATCTGACCAAGGCTTTCTAACATGCGTTTAAAAACCTTATAAACAGTTAATTTACAGTCAAAACCGCAGCTAGTATCATGCAAAAACCAGTTATAATATAGAGGTAGTAGATAATTATGTAATTTATAATAGTTTATCATTCTGATCGCTAGTTAGGTAATTCGTTAAGGAAACAATTATGTTACATGATTGTTTCCTTAACGAATGTTAGAATCATTGACAAAAAATTTTCTGCAAGGTTTATTTCTATATATAGATCTAAGAATTTGTCTTTTCAATTTTAGATTTCTGCTCAGTGGGATAAACGGTTTCTTACTGTCCATTTTGGTAAGTTTAATAAAAAAAGGTCTTGCAATTCATAGCTTGCTAAATTTTCACGTAAAAAAATCCATTGCCGTTCAGATTTATTTAGCAATGATAACAATTGCATAAAATTATATAATATACTAAGCACGAATTTGCCTTAACCACAAAGTTCAAAGATCATGCATTTTTGACATAAAGTGAATTCTTAATTTTTGCATTTCATTCACATTTTATCTATTCATATATATTTCTCATTCGCAGATGATTTAGTAGGTTTAAATAATTATGCTCTAGAAAAGAATGTCAACCAAACGTCCATGTCATATCTAAACTCGAATGGTCCGGCATATTTAGCAGTAGATGGGGACATTAAAACATGTTCCAGAACAGGTATGTATACATAGAGTACTAACTTACCAAATCTTAAGATAGACAAAAGCTTTAATTTTTTGGTTACGCTACTTTACCATAATTTTGTGGTCACATCAACTTGAAACTTATTATGAAACCTTAGATGGATGCGGCTATTTTAAAGGTCCTTTTTGTTTATATAGCTCTCTTCAACTGTTTCGATTCTTATACAGCCTTGGCTTTCAAATATTCGGCTTTGAGCGTTCCTGATGAAGGTAAATCCAGAAAAAACGCTCCGGACGCATGAATTTATAACGTGTTGTTTTCATTTTTTATCAAATATTTAATTTTGCATTAAAATGTGAACTTCTAAAGTTTTATGCCAAATTACGGCTATATGCATGCAACACCTATATCCCAGTTAAAAAAACATGGACACGTAATTGTTCGAGCGAGATATCGAGTCCTGTGGACACACATTCTTTTTAAGATAGTATATCGTGATCGGTTTATACATATTTTGTATTTCAAAGTTAGAAATAAATGTCAAAGTGTAAAAAATTGTCTAGAGAAAGAAAATATATACATGGAGGATATCTGTGAACAAATCCAACTGAAAAAAAATTCAACAACAGTAATACAAGACACACTTCTTTTATAGCCATTCTTTGTGTTCGATAGTATAGTCAGATGTCTTCAGATGTGTTCTTATGTCCGTGTAATACTAAGAAATTGCATTCTGTCCACCATCATTACCAATACTTCGCAGATTATTCTTGAGTTATTTACCTTAAGGATGTTCTCTACTCTGTTTCAAACTAACAAGCTTTTTAAAAGACTGATATACAATGATAGTGTATATATATATATATGTGTCCTTGTTTTTAAGCTATAACCCATTGAAAATTTGCAAGGAATGATTCTTTCTAGATTTTTCAAACATTTAACATTAATTTGGCACCTTTTTTTCTTTCAAAAAATATGAAATAATAACAAGGATTTATAAGATTTTAAAAAATTGCTTTCAAACCTATATGTAATAAAATTAGGAAAAGAAAACTAGGAGTCAGCGGGTAACATTTGTAACAGCACCACATGGATAAAACCATGCGATTCCGAATATCTGGCAAAAGGTCAAAAACAAGATAAGCGAACATTCTTAAATATCATAGCTACGTGTGTGCATGCGTTTATTCATATTCATGTTTGATTCAAAGTTCTAAATATATACAAACATAGGTGCGAAGCTTTAATTGATATAAGACAAGTAATGGCTTTTCTGAAAAGCTAGCCGTCTCATAGCTGATGAAATTTGAAAATGTTTTCCATACAGAATAGCATTGTATTTTGAATTACAAAAAATAAACGGCAAATACTAATTTTGAGATTTTCTAATATCTTTTTTGTATGGAATCACAGGAATAAATGCCTATGGGAGAATGTATAAACACCAGAAAAAGAGGGGGGGGGGGGCATTACTTTTTGAGGCCATTTTCGAGTATAAATTCCAACGTCACTTTCGAAGCGTTCGACAAAATTCGTTCTATTTCACTTTGTCGCATGATGGACATGATATTGAGACAAAATAAGGCCTTTATCGTACTTCCCCTTCAAAGCTAAACATGCTGAATTAACATATTCTTTTGTGGGAGAGCGTTTTAGATGTATATCTATTTTCTTTCTCTTTTTCATAAAGTATGGTTAGTATAAATATTCAACAAATCTAAAAAAAAAAAACAAAAAAAAAAAAAAAACAACAAGTTTAAGACAGTTGGTTCTGACTCCGTTCCTTGTTTTCAGTTATATAAATTAATTCATTTTCACGACTATACTATATCTAGCTAGACTTCGGAGGGTCAAAAGCTAAAAATTGTAATGACCTCATATGTCCAGTGTAGAAAACTTTATAACTTGTAAGAGGTATGCGCGGTTTGAACTTTAGAAGTACTTAAGCAGTTTTGTGTGTCATTTAATTGGGTTGCTTATCTTTAATTATTTATGTATACTTCACATCTCCTTTAAATCATATTTTGAAATTAAAATATGTTTACATGCTCAAATAATTGCTTTTATAGTCTGAGAGTCTTTTTCTTATTATTATTCTACCCTCGTCTTATGTTCTTCACATTCTGCAATCTTGCCACGGTTATATCTAGCCCAGCGCAAACCCTCCTCTAAATTATTCCCGTATTAATCAATATTGATTTTAATCGAACATAATTGATTTGGTTATATCCGTTTTTCAATTAAATTGTTACCTTCGGATTATCTTTCTAAGTATCCATATGTATAACCGTGGAAAAAAGCATGCGCGGTGTGTCCCTAGGTTTTTCATAACTATGATGACTATAAACATCCATAACAACGAGCGAATGTGGATAAAATGTGGAATGATCACATGTGTGTTTTTATACATTACAAATTTACAAGGAGTTTTGGCTATATATAGAATCATGTTCCTGTGTACCGATAGGCATGATTGATCACGATGCAACTTTAATAACTAAAATAAAGAGTTCAAACCCGATACTCTTCGGGATTGAAGAACATTTACTAGGTTTCGAATTGGCCCAACCAATCAACAGACTTTTAATTTACTATGAATGAGTCAGTAATATCTTACAATCAGGCAGTATGAAAGCATTCAGTCCGAAGACTGTCCATCGTTCAACTTATAAGACCGGTAACGAGGAGACGGCAATAAATGTCAACACATGCCATTCTCAAACCATATTTCACACCTATTTAAGGGATTCTTTTTTTGACTGAATGGAAAGAGAAATTATCATATCAAATTCCAGTAAAGACCTATTATCCATTCGATAATCCGATATTAAAACCTGCTCATAGAATTTTTCTCACACGTTTTGTCACGTTATATCCGCTAATGAATGTTCACACATTTTTTTAAAGTAACACTTCAATGAATTAATTTATAAACATTTGAAATGGCAGATGCAATGACTTTTCATCAAGATAAATGTTATAATCTTATTTTGAAAACATTCAACTACGACCTTATAAAAATGTACGTTAATCAAGGCTACTAATCTTTAAACAATAAATAAAATAGAGCGCTTCAATGAAACGCATTACCTTGTGTTACAAGAAAAACATTTTGAATTAAGTCCCAATTAAAAAAAAACCGAGCTATTTGCATTACTTTGAAGATATTCCTTTTTAAGGGACAGTTCCTTATTTAGGATGTTGCTAATTTAGTGGGGTGTATATAAACTTTTAAAGACAACCCGCAGAGCCTTTGAAAAACTATGAAATCGCTTATAAATTTTTTTTTCGATATTCACAGAGGACTTTGTCAATGCCTTCACAATTTGACTTAAAATCGGTAAATGGTATAGGTGACACCTCAAAGTTTTCATTATAAGTAAAGTACTATATCTTTTTGATTGAACATAATACATTAGAAAATAAGTTATAACGAAGTGGAATAAGAACAAAGCGTTCTCAGCACATTAACGAACTCTTGCATCAACTCTTTAAAGGTTCTGTAGGTGGCCTGTTGCAAGGCAAAATTTCTGCCTCTGTACAGCTTACAATCATTTTCAAGTGGTGCTTGAAATTTCCGCCATTCATACCTGTGAAGTTTTGCAACAGGACATTAAGCAAACAAACACTAATCAATCAACCTATGTAATATTGGTAACGTGACATTGAATATGCAACATTTAATCGGTGAGTAACAGATACATGCACGATTGTTTTAAAATAAACGAAGTAACAAAGCAATTTTATTTTTAGATGCAGAATTGTCACCAAGATTACAAATAGATCTCAAATATCAACGACCAGTAGGATTTATTTTAGTGCATGGTAATTTACAAAATGGTATGTATAAGGTTAACTTGTTACTTACATTGCAATGTTTTTAAATCATTCTATAGAAACCTTGCAGTTTGAAATTTAAAGTTAAAAAACGTAATTACATGAGTCAATTTAAAAAAAAAAATCTTACTGCAATATCAAATCTTTTTCATGCAGACATATTGACTTGATTCTTCATAAACAAATGATTTTAAATGATTAGTTTTAGATCACTCTCTAGAAAAGTTTGAGTAATTGTTTTTTCAGCCTTACATGATATTACCATATATGTTATTGGAGAGGACGGGTTACATAGTTATACGTCAGAAACCAATATTTGCGAGCAACATAAAGGACTTGTAAAGAACCAAGCTATTATCACCGATTGTGGTCAGCCTCTTAATGGACGGTATGCTTCAATTTTATGTCATGATACTGTATAGTATAATATACCGTTTAGATTTAAGAAATGTAAGCATGTCTAGAAAGTACCACCACATATAGCTTCAAAATTTGATAGTGACAGTTCATAAATACAGGAAAACAATGCATTATACATGACGTGCATTTAAGTTTACCACTAAACATTATATTCGAACTACTTAAATATATTATAAGAGAAAGAACAAAAACGTTGTTTATATATTTAAACATGTTAAAGTCAATGATAGGGGATCACAATTGTAATAGGATTAACGGGAAATGTTTTCATCCTACCATACAATATCACAATTTTTATATTTACGTTGTGTATAGTATAACGTATATCTAAATACGATACTTTTGTTAACATTATACAGTCCCCGTCTGATATTTTGTTTTTTCCAAAGCTATAAAGAATAAGTACAACAACCACCAAACTTATAACATTATCAATGATATCCATTCTTAATCATTTTTGCAGAATTACGGAAAAAATATTTTCATTCAATCTTTACATTATACATATTTCAAATTTCACCAAAAATCAATTTTTTGATGAATATTTTGTGTTTCAGATACATCATTATAGAAATGAAAAATTCTGTCAATGCACTGGATAATTTGATGCTTTGCGAGGTGATAGTTATTCAACGTTAAAGTATAGACATGGGAATTCAGCAGCAATACATGATCAAACTGTTTACAGAATACAGCAAAATACCCGTGGCCGATTTTCAAATACAAATATAATTTAAATTGTCCCGAGTTCTCAGCAATTCATTAAGATAACATCCAGGTTTATGCAAATTAAAGAGTTGAAGTCGTTTGTATATATATAATTTATTATACATATAATCAAAGTATACGTATTTGTACATTAATCAAAAAAATACAGCCAACTTCCTAATCTTTTTGATTCACTCACTGACATTAAGTTAGAATCTGAAACTTGTTGAAACATGTATGAATTTCAGTAGAAATGAGTCTCTATGATAAATATTTTCAAAAAAAATGTTTTAAACTATTTTACGTTTATCAATATAATCAAACTGTTATTCAGAGCCTCACATTGTTGCTAAAGACATTTTGATAAAGTATTGCCACTTTACATAATATTGTGCATCGAAGGATATCCTTAAATTGTTTCTGAATGACACTACATAGCTTACTTACTTCGGATGGAACATTTTTTGTTTAGAATGTCTAAGATAATTATTATGTTTTTCTTATCCATGTTTTGAATAAATAGTTAAAAGCCAGAATCTATCAAAATGCTTGAATCATCTTTGGCCATTTGATTTTTTGTCAAATTTGGTCACAAGTTCGGGAGCACGTGATATTGTAATTAGAACTTAAAGGTTCTCACACGAGAGTGATAGCATGCAATAAAAAGAATGTAGGGTTTTAAATCGGCCCTGGTATGAAATACATGCAGGTGAAACTGTTCTTATCTCATTTATATTCATAGTTCAAAATGTAAACATTCTGTCGTAATAAAAAGTGCTTCACAGTGAAATTGCTTTGCATGAATGTAGGAGAACATTATCAGTTATCCATCTTATATAGAATAGTAATTGCACTCGCCAGCTCGCCAGAATGATATTATTCTACCATATGAACTCTATTTACAATAATAAATGCAACATCCTATTATAAGACTAGACTAAGAATACGGGAGTTTTATAAGATTTAGGGCCCATTCCCTTTAAATATTTGTGAAAATAAGATTGTTAATACAATGCAAAAGCTAAAAATATACGATTTCATATGCACTTTTACCGAAAAAAAAAATAATATAATTGTTTACCGATGTAATGTTTTCATTGTACACATCTTATTTTTATAAAAGATTGTTTTTGCTGATATTGTGTTCATTTTTATTGGTTCTCGTGTGTTTAAAGTAATTCAGATTGCCAATAAAACTATGCATTTCTATCAAAACGTTTCAAATAAGTCATGTTCGTGTCAAAGTCATGAATATTAAACCCATGGCAAAACTGAAGAACTAAAATTTTATCAATGGTTGTAGCTGAAAAAGAGATTCGTGTACTCAGTACATGCATATTGTATACATATACAGGTGCGAGGAACTTTTCAGAATAGCGGTATTGCATAAAGCTACTTTTCCGAGATTCTGCGATATTTGACCACTATTTTTACTATTATTTGTGAAAGAATAATTCGAATTCCTTTTCATAGGCAAGTTTGAGCAGTGGATCCAGCATCCATTATCGTTAATAAAAAAACTGTGCAATGACATGGCCAATGTGCACAATTTTGCTTGTGGAACCCTCAATGCAGAACAATTTCCGATGACCTATATTTCAAATGAACTATCAAATTAGCATAACAGTATAAATGTTTACAGAGTCTTCATGAATTGGTTCTGTGGTAGCCTGCTTGAAAATTAATTAATATAAAAGTGCACACAACACATGATTCTGGAACGCATGTAACGATAGAAACTAACAGTGGGGAAAACCAGAATGTAAAACACCGCAGAGTCCTGACACGATCGAACACAATCATCTTAGGTCTAATTAGCCTGAGGAATTTGCAACAAAACTTAGGCACAATTACATAATTTTAGGAACTGAAAATTTACAGACAAAATGTTTCCTGTATTTCATTCCGGATGGTAAACTCGGGGATTGATCGTAAACCAGTAGCGTTATTGACCTAGCGGCATTAAAATGTGTGATAAGATTTCCATGCGCACAAAACGTGTTTCTGGAGTAACCTCCATCAGGTACGCTACAGAACAAAATTTTAAAGGTAAAAAATATGAAACGTTTGAGAGGACAAACCCCATTCGGCCTTAAAAGTACATATACTAAACCTACAACTTCATAAGTGATGTCTACTTCACAAGATAATGTCTTCTGCACCCGAGTTCAACCTATGTTTTGTTGGGGTTCGTGTTGGTCAATCTTTTGCTTTCTGTATAGTGTTTTGTGACTGCAAGGATTAAGAAATTGATTGATTTAGGTTATATCTTCCAGTGGCAATACTTGAAGATATAACCAAAACCAATTAATTTCTTAATCCTTGCATGTGTTTCCTCCTCTAAAGAAGGTAATCAGTTCAATTTCTGCATTCATGTTTCATTTTAAAAATGCATATCAGGACGAGAATAGATTGAATATGAACCCTGTTTTGTGCAAGACCGACACACTGAGCCGGGACATAACGTGCTTGTTAACATGGTAAAAGTTCACAGGAAGATATGTCAGCCTACCGGGCACATTATTCTGACTTAAATTCTGAAAACAAGTCGAACATTACCATCGTAGATTTTTCATGCTCAATAATAAAAAAAATAATCTAAAAATCAAATAAATGTGTTTTATTATAATAATCATAAAAAGTGATGTCAATCCACAAAAATGAAAAAAGATAATAGATAGTATGGTATTGGACTTGCTTTTCAATTGACAGGTAACCAACCAGGGAAAAGTAGGTCACATCACCATAATTTCATGCTACAATTCTTTAGTCATATCTTAGATACTATGACACATCCAAGCTATCATTGGGATAAATATTTTGCTATAAATTGATTTGCTATATTTGGGAATGTCACATTAATAAAATGCATCCGTTATTTTTGTAACATATATATAAATGAAGTTTTATTCCACATTAAATTAATCTTTGAAAACGTTTTTACCAAACCAGGGAAAAAATCTTAAAAGAAATCACAGCATATAAAATGTATAATAAAATTTGATAGTTAGCGAAATATTACAGTATTTCTTTATATACCTCTATCGTTTAAATAGAAATAAGTCTGTCCAATATGCGTAAAGATCAACAACTCTTATTACAAAAAGGTTAAGTCAACTAATTTGGTGTTGTATTTCAAACACATTATAATATTTGATTCTAAACAATAGAGTAGACATTTGAATCAAATTACCATAGAATTATATGTTCAAATCTGAAAGTTAAACACAACAAATATAAATTAACATTCTTAGTAACAATATGGCGCTTTCTAATATAGTGTTGGAAAATTTAACAGATTGTCCTATATGCAATGAAAAATTCAACCTGCCCAGATTTTTACCGTGTTATCACACATATTGCCAACATTGTTTGAAGGATTATATCGAGTCTGAAATTGAGAAACACGGAAAAAGCTTAAGCAAGATAAAATGCGTAGTCTGCCAGAGTGTTTTTCCGCTCATTCCCGACACGGAGCCGGAGAAGTATGTTGCAGAACTCCCAATGGATAACCTAGCTCTAAGCATTATAAAACGGAAGGAAGTTGGTGATTCAGAAAATATCTGCTATCCGTGTAAACGAATAGACATTACCAGTCCAGCTGTATGCTACTGTTCGAAATGCGTAGAGTTTCTATGCAAAGATTGTGAAAAATACCACAAAACCAATAAATCGACATCCAACCATTTATTGGTCAGCATAGCAAAGATTGTGAAGGAAACAGATCTGTTAAAACATGCTCCACCGGTTATCTGTCCAGAACATCGAGAAAGTGAGATGGCGATGTACTGTTTTTCGCACGAAGTTGTCTGCTGTTCATCTTGCGTTTCAGAGCATCATTCTCAGTGCAAAACGGTTGCAACAGTTGAACATGCAGTTGCTAGATTTAAAGAAAAACGCATGTTCGAGGCGTTTAATAAAAACTTGCAAAAGTCGAAATTGAAGTATGAAGAAGAGATTAAGAAAGGAACCGAACATCTAGGACAATTAGATCACAGTGCATCTTTTATATGTGCAGAAATTGAAGAAATGCGCAAAATGATTAACAAACACTTCGATGACCTCGAGGTCAGTGCTAAGAAGCAGTTAGTAAGCATCAAAAATGAACAGACGGCTGAATTAGAAGATAGAATCGATGAATTTAGAATGAGAAGCTTAATGTTGGAAGATAGTGAACAGGTTTTGAAAGCTTTTGTACAAAATGCATCTCCAGGGCTACTTTTATTTGAAATGAAGCGATTGAAAAATCAGCACATGGAATGTGAAAAATTTATACATCAATCCAAAACTCTTCTAGCGAAACGGCTGCTCGGTTTTGAACCCGACAAAAACGTTGCAGGAATTACGTCAAGTCTAAAACATATGGGTAAAGTTTTTGTCAAGGGTGTTTTTGATGTAACTCGAGACGTACCCAAGAACACAATGACTTTGAAGACAAAACGGAAGAACGCAAGAATCACAGGAATCTCATCTTTCCCTGATGGACGAATAGTCGTAACTGATGAAAATAACTGTACGCTTACTCTATTTGACGGAGAAGGCAAGGAGGTTAATGAACTGGTTCTTCTTGGAAAGCCATGGGATGTGGCAACACTGGACCGACACCGATGTGTCATTACGATGCGAGGCCTAAACGTTTTACAATATGTCAATGTCAATGACATGACACTTTTACGTCAAATTGCAATCGATGATGGCTGCTGGGGCGTTTCCGTTTACGGTGAAGAATTAGTTATAGGATTCGACAATAAAGTAGAAATTTTCGATTTCGGTGGAAGATCTGAACATGTCATTCCATGCTTAGGATCAGACTATTATGTAACCATAGACAACTTAGGGAGGTTTTACCACAAGCATCATGGGAACACACTTCACTGTCGACATGTCTCTGGAAAATTCGCGTTTAGTTATTATAATGCGGAATTGGTTAATCTTACAGGAATTACAATTGACAATGATGGAAATATATACGTTGCTGGGTTTCATTCCAACAATGTTCACCAACTTACACCAGATGGCACCCTAACGCGGATCATATTATCCGGCATGGACGGTATATATCAACCCCTTAAACTTCACTTCTCCAAAGATTTCAGCAAACTTCTTGTGGCAAACAATAATGGCTCATCTGTTGCCGTATACAGCTTCACAAACATATCATGATCTTATCGATAAGGTGACTAAGATATAATGAACATCTGTATATATATGCATCGAAAAAAAAATGGCTGACATCAAATATGAATCTGCATGTTTATTATTGATCAAATTTCCTTTTACGTGCATACAATGTACCGGAAATCAATGGATTCAAATGTGTGAACAATTCGACAAAAATACATAGAATGGTATATACATTTCAAATTTGTTACCCAATCAAATGTTTATATCTAACTATAAAAACGGGGATAGTTTTCGTCTGTCATTGTTATAGGCTACAATGTAATATATTTAAAGATCAATTATCTGATCAAATAAAAATAAAAGGAAATTTCACGCTTAGTCATTCGTATAACAATGAATTAAATATTCATATTTAAAAAGCATTATCCTAACGATATAAATAGTTCATAGTGGACAATTCGACGTAGGAATTATTATTACACCATTACTCGAAAGGAGGGTAAACTTATTTAACTCTGTACATTTGTCCGTCCATCACATAAAACATCGCATATTTCTAAAAAAATAAAAAAAATAGATGTTCCCCAAATTCGCTAGAAAGCTTCATATGAGTAAGCTACACAGTGTGGTGTATTTTTTGGCATTCGTCGCTCATCAACTTTCTGTTTACCAAATACCTATTATATATTCCATGTATAATGGCCATGTATTGAAATTTTTGTCACATTTTTCTTAAAAATGCAAATCAAAGCTTCCTGAAATTTGGTATGAAGCTTCATGTAAGCATGCTACACGTTTACCGTGTAATACCGTTTCCCATTAATCGCTAATTTACTAACTGGTTATGGAATACTTATTTGTTCCGACAAAGAAATAGCCATGTATTAAATTTTCGTCACATTTTTCTTAAAAAGCTACAAATCAGAGTTTTCTGAAATTTGGTATCAAGCTTCATGTGAGCATGGTATACCGTGAAATATGCATTTTCAGATTCATCGTTCAAAACTTTCTGTTT